ACTCCAAATACTTATGTACGTGTGTAGTATGCGCTGTCATTTGGCATTTGAATTTGTGCGATATGATAATTAAGTCCCATATATGTATATATATGGATATATGTATATATATATAAATATAAATAATAAATCAAAGATATGCCTCGCTACAATCGAGTGAGAAAAAGGGATGCACAATGAGTATGCGAGGTGGCCTGAATTTAGCCGAGCAGTGTGTATTACTTCCATCAATCGATCTCAAAAGAATTTGTTTTATAGCAATAATAATATATCGAATCTTATAACAATATAATATATGATTTTCCATCTATAATATAATGGATGAATAAAAACTCTATATAAAAGAAAACGTTGTATATTTTTATGCATATAAAATGGAACCAAAATATTTCTACTTAAAATTCAGCTAAAGGATACAATCTGTCAAGCAAATATTTATGGGACAAACAAACAATACAGATAGGTGAAGTACGCGATACGCTTGAGGATGAAAATGGTATATGTATAAGTAAATATATAAGTAAAGCGAAACAAAATGCATAAGCTACATGTTCTGCGGCTTTCATTGATAATGGTCGCTGCTGGCTCATCGGATTTGTAATAAATAATATCATATATAGCCTTATAATATGTAAATATATCGATGTATAGAATTTCCAGAATTACATAGTCATTGTGCATCCTTTAAAACAGAAACATCATTTTGCATGCAAACAATAGATACAATTTATCAAACTATATCACAATATGAGATCTACGAGTATATTCGAGTATCAAAATCTCAACACTTAAATGTTTAAAATGCTAAGCATGCACTGAGGATCCACTGCAAAGCTGTGATGTTTATGCTAGCGTTCTCAGTCTGTACTTGTCGGATAATTGGATAACGCAATAGCACGAAATTATTATAAATATATATTTTTCTACTTACGATATATATGTACATATATGCACATATATACGTGTACGTTAATACATATATATACATATATATCGAGAAATAAATCAACAAATATAGATGTATAATCAAAGAAAATACAGAGAATAAAAGAAATAAAAGAAATATATAACAATACTTCGTGTTATAAAATATTTGATTTTCTTTCATGGACCTTCTTTGCATCCACGTGTGTGGATATATAGATTCAATTAGATAATACATGCACAATAATTATATATTAAATTATATTAAAAAGATCGATTTTAGGTAACTGCTAATAACTTTGGTACTTTAATATATCTTTCTCTTCTAAATCAATATTTTCATCATTTTTACAAGTTGAGTATCAATCACACAATTTTTTAAGAAAATTTTATAGTTTACGTTAATTAGGAAATAATTTATTCATAACATCTGATCTAATTATTAGTTTTTCACAAGATAATTGACTCACAAAATACGTAAACTAACTAAAAGAAATGTTTGGAAATGTACAGTGGTAATATTACAATTACACAAATTATTAGCATGCTATCAAATACTAATATCGTTAAAGATTATATAGATTTAATCAGAACTTACCGTTTGGAGAACTTCGAAGATAATTTCGAGAAAAAGGACGGCCTTGCTAGAGGGCTAATTGCATTTGTGTCCTGTGTTTGTGTGTGACCCTGGAAAAACATTTACATTAATTACTAATAAAATAAATAATGTTTAATAATTAACTAATAATCGCTAATAAAAAAAGATAAATTTGTCAAATTAAACTCTTGTTCTATAGTTAAATTGTTTTAAGTACTCACCTGAGTGTGATTTCGCTGTGCTCTATTTTGGCCAGAATGGAACGTACTGCGACTCGGAACATTCCGTGGAAATGCTGCCGTAGTGGTTGTGGCCAGTCTGTTGCTTGTGCATACACCCAAACTAACAACAAATAATAATTTTTATTTTAATACAAACTGCAATCGCGTGATAGATATATAAGCTGATTTATCAGCATTTTTATTTTTATGCACTATAAATAAAAAGTATATGCTCGAGCGAATATACTACCATATTACCCATTCGATTCAAATAAAGCTGATATCAAGATGCAAAGAGATATAAAGTAAATGAAATTAGTTATTAAGTAATGCAGCGTAGCAAACCTTTTGACTTTATAATTTTATAGTTGGTCTAGTCATCCATCCATCCATCCATCCGTCTGTAAGATTTCTCAAAAATGTCTTAAGTCTTTCAAATTCTGTTTTCGATAATAAATACCTAAAGATCTTAGCTTCCCATCAAAGTAAAATATGAATTAATAAATCAGTTGACGGTAAGAAAGTCAACAATTAAGATTAATTTTAATAAAGTTCTTCCAACAGTTACAAATTTTTCGCTGCACTACTTAATTACATACGTTACAAAAAGTTGATTTAATTGTTAAGTATTTCTAAAGATATTGTTGTTATAAAAATTTTCAACGCGCAAGCAATATTTTACAAATTAAGCTTAATGAGTAAAGTTAATAAAGCAATATTGATAAGAGAAATTAATTCATATTGATAAAAAATATCTAATAGGTTATTATGTAAATAGGCACAGTCTACTACAACTGCGCAAGCAAATTCCATTAATCGATGGAAAGAAAGTATTTCAAGAATATAATTGTATTTTTTGCGCGAAAGATATATTTTAAATACAGTAACTATATAATAGAGTACTAGAAAAGACTTCATGAGGAAATGATGTTAACTTAGACATTGGGTCACGTCATAAGTAATTTATCAAACAGATAATATTAAATAGTTTTACATTCTATACGATATAAATTTATTTTATCAAAACTAATAGAAAAAATACAAAAAGATAGATATGTATATAATATTATGTATCAAACGCGTAATTATGTAGGAAATAATAAATTAAGAATAAATATTTCCCTTGAGAAAACTAATTGTAATATCATGCCGCTATATATACTATAGTATATTATCATAATTATCCTACATTATTAAGCTTAGTGGTCAATAAAAAATCATACAAAAATTTCTAAGTGAACTGTAAGCATGTCGAAATTGTATCATGAATCGGTATAATGAGATGGTTTTATCATGATCAAACCTAATGATATTTATATAAATGAAGAAAGAAGCAATGAAGCCGTTATTGAGATCTAACAAAGTTTATATCATGCGAATGAAAAAGAGAAAGAGAGTAAAAAGAGAAAAGAGTATAAAAAAAGCAATAAGAAAAGAGAATTAAAAAATAATGAAAGAATGACCAAAAACTATCCTAGAGAATCCTATGTCGACAATTTTTTGAATAGAACACTCCAAGAGATTGGCACTGTCGTTTTTGAGCTTCTGAGAAACGAATGTTCTCATTATCCGCTCCGGCAGAAATTGCGAAAGACTATAATAGTAGAAGACCTAATTACCCCTAAGAGAGTTAGTGGCCCAAGAAAGAAGTAACCAAATGAAAGAGAACGAATGTATCCGAAATATATACATATTTAAATATTAAATATGCAGGAATGTATGCAGGTCTTTCGGTTTTTGTATTAGGCATCGGGGGCCTGTACCTCTGCCTAAGGGGGTCAGCAGTGGCGAGTAAGGAGTTGTGGGCGTTGCGTGGTTGAGGGTCCAGTAGTGAATGGTCGCTGGGGGGTACACCACTTGAGGAACGGTGACTTGCGCTGATGCTCGCAGACTTGGTGTGACCCCGCGTTGGTCTAGTGCCCTCGCCCAGGCTGTGCATAAAACTAATCAGCAAATTGCCAAGCCTTATGGACCACGATTTAATCCTATTTTTGTTTTTTATACAATAAAAGACCAGAACAACTTTTTAAGATTGTACAGAAGCAAAACGGGGCGAGATCTAAGATTTGTAACAGACATCGAAAATATTTCATTACGTATTTATGTAAGATATATAATTAAATTCTTAGATAGATAAATAATTACATTAAGAATTTTCTTACTTGTTTCAAACAATGACTTGTTACTTTTTACTTGTAATGTCGTTTATTTTTAT